TGAGGACTGGGAGGCAAGGGCCAGGTGACAGTCCTAGGAGAAAGGCTGCTTGGAACTTAGAGTTGAACCTAGAGCAGCACCCATCCTGCCCTGACTCCTCATTAGTGAGGCTTTGACCAAGCCAGGCAGAGTAGCCACCGTTCACATGAAGGGAGACATGATGTCCCATCTTTGTGACTTGGAGCAAACGTCTGGCCCTGCCTGAGCCACTGCCTCCACGGCTGCCATGTGTAGAGGCAGCTACCCTTCACTTCTCAGTGAGGGTTAGCATAAATAATGCTTACAGCAACCAGAGCTTCTGGCTCCTTCCACGTACCCAGCCCTGTTCCTGCTGTACGTCTTCTAAAATATGCAGTCCACCTAGATTCTAGTAGAGCTCCATCTTATGGTTCACCCATTTCCCATGTGTGGAAACTGAGGCGCTGGTCATAGGAAAATGAGCCAACATTTTAACTCAGCCATGCAGCTCTCTCTCCAGCAGGCCCCTCCTAAGACCTAGACTGTTCCAGGTTCATCTCTGGCTTTTTGTTGCTCTTCACACCAAAACCAGGAGCCTAGGTGAAAGGCCACATGGTGTGTGCATGGTACAGCGCCTCAGAGCCCAGGCACCAGCTCACTTGAGAGGAGAGGTGCTCTGAGACGATTCAGTGAGGCCTGTGGCTCCGAGTCACATTCCACAGATTTTTGGCCCCTGGCTTGGGCTTGGCAGTCACTGCCTCATTGCTCTGCAGCTTGGCAGGGACTGGGGGATCCTGGAATCCCCAGGGTCAGAGGGCTAAGAGACTCCCCTGTCACTCACAGTAGTCCTCTGGTCCTCCCCTGCGCTCTCCGTCTCCCTCCAGGGGCCCTTTATTGCAGCCTTCCTGCAGCTCTCTCTGGAAGAAGCAGGGCTTGTTTGTTTTGTTTGTCTGCTTGCATTTCTGTAGAAATGTGTGGTGTGAGAAGGTGGGGTTTTCACTGGGATACCACAGAACACAGGCTCCTTCAAACCCTGCCCTCTGGAGACTCCTTGGGGAACAACCAAAGCCTTGGAAGGAGCCCCTGAAGCGTGAACCCAAATTTTCATCTGTAGCTTGCTGGGCAAATGGCTGTGAGCCTCGGTTTCCCTACCTATAAAATGTAGATGCGTGGGGAGCGTGATCCATAGAGAAGGGTCTCCCTCCTTCCCTGCTGGACTCTGTCCATCTGGAGTGGTCCTCTGGGTGCTGGTCAGGGCGGGCGGTCCTCCTGGGGAGCACTGTGGCCGTGTGTGGCACCACACCGAGTGGCAGCTTTTTGCCAGGGCCGGGCCTCTGAGAGGAAGTTGGTGGGGACAGTGGCAGGGTGTGATCTGGAGGGCAGTGTCTGTTGACGTCTGTTGGATAAAAGGCGCTTTGTGGACCCCAACCCCAATCTTGTGCGCTGGCACCACGTTGCTCTTAGGTGGAGACAGGGCTCATTGACAGAGGGCCACTGGAAGAGGTGACAGTGTGGTGGCCTCAGAACAAGGGTGCCACCTTAGTTTCTAGCCCCAGGGTTTATCCATGTGACCCAGGCATGCCTTCAACCTCCTTGTACCTCAGTTTCTTCGTTTGTTCGATAGGATGATTGTAGCCTCTATCTCGTGGAGTTGTGTTAAAGTTTACAGGGATGAAGGGCATATTAAGGGCCCATGCAACTATCATCATCATTATCTGTTATTCCTGAGGTGGCTTGGGCCCCTTTGTCATGGTCCTGATCATCATTATCTGTTATTTCTGAGGTGGCTTGGGCCCCTTTGTCATGGTCCTGATCATCATTATCTGTCATTCCTGAGGTGGCTTGGGCCCCTTTGTCATGGTCCTGTCCACCTTGAGTCCTGTTTGAATGCCTGATCCCAGGAGGCATGACCTTCCCAAACAACTGCCAGGCAGCTCAGCAAGATTTGCCCAGGGTCCCAGCTGCTACGTGAAAGAGTACAGATTCACACACAACCCCTCACCCCCAGGCCCTAAATACCTGGGAGCTGGAGCTGGGAAAGGCAGGATGAGGGGAGGGGATTCAGAGACAGGGTACAGACAGGCACACAGGCAGAACAGATACGTGAATGGCCAGGACTGGGCAACCTGCGGGCCCATTCTAGAGCCTGAGATAAAGGTGGAGCCTTCTCCTGAAGACAGTTCTCCAGCTTTTTCCCAGAGGTACCCCTAAGGGCAGAGGACGGTGAACATGTCACCCTGAGGGTGCGGAGGGTGTTGCCTGCACCAGCTGCTAAGCCTGCGGGAGACTCTGGTTTCATCTTCAAATTCATGCGCATTTTACATTGGGCTCACTCTCATACCCAGTTTGTTGTTACAGGCTTTCCCCCTGAGTAACAGCAGTGCCTGAGGAAGCTTCCCTGTGCTTATCTGTTTATCCTGGGGCTTTCTGTACCCCGTCCTCCACCGCGCCATCCTGGGGGTGGTGGTGCTGCCAGGATGCTCAGCCAGCTGGTGGGAGGGTGGAATATTCTGAGGGCATCTGGGCCCATCTGCATCACTGTAAGGCCTACGTGGGTGGGTGGGTGCGGGGAGGGAGAGGCCTGCCTGCGATGCCACATGTATCCCCAGTCAGACACTGGTGTGTATGTCCACATGCGAGGACTAGCCACAGCGAAGGCGGTTAATGTCACAGACAGGAGTCTGTATGAATGTGCTGGCCAGGAATGGCTGTCTTGGTAGAGACCCTTGCTGTCAGGGTCTCTCCAGGTTGTCTCTGTCCTCTCTCTCTGTTGAGTTTATGTGCTGCAGAGTATGACAAAGTTCCCAAAAGAGCAGGAGGGGCTGGGACACAACTCAGTCGAGAAAGCCCTCACCGCACATGTGAGAAGCTGAGTTCGGCCCCAGCACCCACATGTAAGGCTGGGTGTGGTGACGCACTCTGGGGAGATGGGAAGGGGAGAGTCCCTGGGTCTCCCCGACCAGTTCTTGTAGCCAAGTCAGTGAGCTGTGGATTCAGTGAGCTGTCTCCAGAAATGAGGAGCAGAGTTACTGACGCAGACACGCCGTCTGCCTCTGCCCTCTAGATGCACACACAGACCTGTACCCCACACGCATTGTACCCACTCACAGAGCAGAGGAGGTAAAGGGTGCCCGGGGATGCAGGAGGACGGTGCTGGAGGCCAGGGCACGCGCTGCAGTGGGCCAGGTGCACCCAGGGGTTACAGTCGGTCCCAGCTGGTGCGGCTGGTAAACAGCCCAGCCAGATCTGCAGGGTGTCTGCTCTAACCGTAGCAGTGTTGGTTCCTGTCTCACTGCTGTCGAGAGATGCGAGGACCTTTAAATGCTAGAGCCTAGTGCGAGGTCATTAGGTCATGGGGCACTGCCTCCAGGAAAGATTTTTTCCTCAGGAAATTAATGTTATAAAAGCTCAAGCCTGACCCCTGAATGAATGACAGCTTGGCTTCCTGTCTGGCTGTGGGATCTACCCTTCTCCACAGGAGTCCCTGCCACTGTAATTCGAGTTTTCCTGCCAGTGCTGATTGGACACTGGCTTCAGGCTCCGGAACCTCCAAAACTGTGAGCTGAGTAAAACGTTTCTTTATAAAGTTATCCAGACTCGGGCATTTTGGCATAGTAACAGAAAAGGGGCTGCTGCAAACAACCTCTTAGCTCGGGCCCTGCCATGTAGGTTACGTGAGACAGGACTAACCAGCTTGTGAGCCTCTGTGCTCATTCCCTGGAGATGTTCGGAAGGCCATCCATGACTCATAGGGACTCCTGGTTCCCTGGGGACTATCATACAGCTGCTCAATAGCCTGGGTCAAGACCCCTGGAGTTCAGACCTGGATTGGGACACAAAGGGTGAGTCTGAGGATATATGGGGCTCTCTTACTGCCTGAGCTACACTGATGCCTCTGTATGTGCCTCGTGGGACCCCAAGCCCAGACCTGACACATGGAAGGTGTTAAAGACATACTGGGGGGTGCATGCAGACTTCCCCCCACAAAAGGATCATGGGGTTGAGTACAGGTCTTTCCCCAGCCAGAAAACTTCCATGCACACCCGCCTCGGCTTTGCGCCAGAGAGGTCTGTATGGTGGGGAAGCCGGAAGCCGCCTCTAGTACCAGCAGTAGAAGTAATAGTAGGGGAGACAGTCGGTGGCCTTTTGCTCAGGAATGGGTGCACAGTGGGGGCATTACAGGTTAGCCCTGGACGGGAGAGCTACCCCGTTGGAGGTTCACACGGAACCTGGGCCTCCAGCGTTGTACACAGGGGTCCAGCAGGGGTGGGGATACAAGCTCATCCCCGAAGCTGCTGCCAGTCTGGCTCTGTTCTCTTTCCCGGCCACCCAGGCTGCCCACTTGGCTTTATGTGGTGATGTCAGGACAGCAAAACAGACTAGGCCCCTACTGAAAGTGTGTAGGCAAAAATTAGGCTTCGGTGTTTGGTAGTGCGGGGTTGAATGTGGGGTCTCATCGTGCTTTGGATGAGAAACATCTCGAGTAGGCTCAGGTATTTGGACACTTGGTTCCAGTCGGTGCTGCTGTTGGAGAGGTTTAGGTAGCATATCCTTGCGGGAGGAAATACGTCACTGGAGGCGGGCTTTGAAATTACACAGCCTCACCCAACTTCCACTTCACTCTCTCTGTGTCATGCTGTGGATGTAAGCTCCCAGCTCCCTGTCCTGGCTGCCTTGTTGTCTCTGCCATTATGTGCTCTAACCATTATGAACCGTAAGCCAAAATAAACTTTCTTCCTACGTTGCTTTTGGTGATGGTGTTTTATCACAGCCACAGGAAGGTATGGAATACAGGGCTCCTGGCTGGCCTGGAGTGGACAGTTCTCTTATCCCTGCAGAGCACCTCAGTTTCCCGCTTCCAGTGGACAGGCCTAGCAATTGAGGTAGTGTTTATAATAACACAGAGAAGGTATCCTGAGGAGTCCTTGGTCACTTGTGAATAGGTGACAGTGAGCACAGTGAAACCTGTCTGCTCATCCATCTATAGAATGGGACGAGTGGCCAGGAGGAGAATGTCACCAGGCCCTCATTTTCTGTTACAGCCTGGGACCTTGTGAGGCTGGCATGCAGGATGGCAGGACAGCCCAGCCACATGCCCCACGGAGTGAGTCCGAACAGCCTCTGCCATGCACTGGGACCTGCGCCCCCTCCAGACCCACAGGTAAGTCACCCACCCCCTCCTCCCTGTAGGAGGCTGCATAGCTGCCCATACAGAACGTCTCCTTGACTGCTTCCAGGTACCTCAAGCCCTGTGCTTACTTCAGACATTTCCACTGAGGCGCAGTCCATGTCTGCAGGCCTGTGCAAGGAGAGGAGGGACTCAGGAATGAGCAGAAAGTTCTCCTGTTCCTGGGCCCCCGCCGGCCTCTGGTTTGGTCTGAACCCTGTTCAGCCGTCTTCAGTCCTGTGGTTGAGGGGTGGTCTCCCTGTGCCTGCCTCACCCTGCTTTCGATGTCTCTGAGGGTTCAGCTGCCTTCAGTACTGTTCTAAAGGTGGCTCTGAGGGTGGTCAGGCACACTTGCTGCCTTTTCCTTCCTCTGTTCCCTGACCTAGAATGTCCTCAGTCTTCCTGCAAGCCACGAGGCCAGATACTACCCTCTGAGGAGACTTCCCTGCCCTTGACCCACACCTACATGCGTTCCTCCAACGCATGTGAGCACCCCCATACCTTCGTGCACCCCCCCGCATGGCTCTGGCCTTGGGACGTTCATTCCTGCAGCAGCCTTCCCTTCCTACTAGATGAAAGAAGTCTCTATGCTCGAAGGCATTCTCTGTGCCACCGTGTCAGCGAAATACATCTATATTTAAAAATACATCCTGTGTGAGCCGTGCACTGCCTAGGATGTGAGGCTACGTGAGGCAGGCCCAGGTCAGCTCTCAGGAAGCGCACAGCCTCCGGGGACAGAAACATAAAAATACCAAACTGAAAGCACCCCGGGATTCCACCCGAGCAAAACACCCGATGCCTGAGAGGGCCGACAGGCCACCGTAAGGAAGGGACGGGCAGTGGCCTGCAGGGCAGCAAGCCTGGTGCCTGGGCCAGATCCTTTAGGACCCTGTGGGCAGGGTCAGCTTTTTACCCAAAGGCCAAGAGACCCACATCAGGGGGTGATTCAAGACAACCGTATTCCTTCACCACGGAAGACTCGTCCCAGCTTCTGACGTCCCTGGTGGTGCACCACTGTGCCCGTTGTAAACTTCACAGATGCCAGCTCAGGGAGATAAGCGGGCTTTGAACTTGTGTGTGCTCGCAGTCTTACTGTGTTGTGATCTGTGGCAGGGGCTACGTCAGCCCAAGAGAGGATCCTCCTGCAGACCCACACAAACTTGCCGCGTGAGCTCCTGGACTGTGCAAGCATGTGACAGTCCTAGGACACCCATGCCATCCGTGCTTAGTGTCCGTTGTTGGCTGGGATGTTATAGTCCATTCCCAGGTAGAATCTTGGGAGGCACAGCTCCAGAGCTGGGCCAGGACAGAGGCTGATGGCTGGGGCAGCAGGGCCTGCGTAGGTAATGTAGCCATTTGTCACATTAAGTCATTCACTAACAATCGAATCCCCCTTGATTAATCTCCCAGAATTAGCCAGTTGCATTTTGAGCAATTAGGGTTAATTACAGGCTCATTTGGCAGAGGAGAGAGGCCTGTAATTATTTCTCAGGCGAGGAGAGGCGAGGAGGTAGCAGTGACAGTGTCCTCGGCAGCTTGTCGCACATGTTGGAGTGGGTGATGACATAGTTAAGTGTAATTAGATGCAATCACTCAGTGTTGGCTGCTCTGGGCAGTGGCTGTCAGGCAAGGATGCCCCAGTCCCACCCGCATCTGGCCAGTCTTGAAGACTTGGGGTGCATGGGCTAGTATGCTGTGCAAACTCCAGGCTGGGACAGGCACACCCTCTGTCCTCTCACAAAGTGCCTGTTTCCACCCCATCTGGGAATCATGGCGGCCAAGCCTCTCCCATGTCAGCATACTAAAACATTTGGAATGGACAGTGAAGCCGTGTCCCTTTATGGCAGGAGGCGTGTGTCCCAGCAGGCCATCCTTAGAACCTGGAATGAGGCCTGCTCCGAGGCTGGGTACGAAGCCTCTCAGCCTCAGTTTTCTCATCTGTAGAGTAGGGGCACTATTGGCACCTTCAGCCCGAGATGTCTGTGAAGTCCAAATGATGTGATGTGCTTTAAACTCCAGCACAGCACCCAACACCCTGGGTGTCAGGGAAATCCCATGTGTAGACTTTTTATAATTGAAAAGTTATTGCAGTTTTCAAAGCTAAAGCTCCCGCAGTTAAATCTACCCTCTTGAGGCAGAACGGCCAGAAGCTCCCGACAGTCCACCTATGGCTTTGTTAGCCTTCCAGGCACAAAGCCTGTGGCGTTACAGAAGCTGAGAGAGTCGTCGGTGCATGGAATCTGCTTGCCGAACCATGTCGTTGGCCTGTGAGGTTTACATACAGGGAGGAAAGCTGGGCTTCCCGTGGGATCCTGGGGATGGCTATATGAGTCAAGAAGGAGCCACCATGAAGAATGATGCAGTTGGTGTAGACAGAGGAAGGTTTCGTGTGTGAGAAGCCCCTGCCAACAGATCTTCAGAAACCTGCTCTGGACGATCTGAGGTCACCTCTATGTGGAGAGAGTCATGTGCGTGCTTTGTAGGGCCTGGGGGTAGCTATCCATGGGTCTGTGTTTCACAGAGCAAATCTATATGCAAACCTTCCCGAAGAGGCAGAGGCAGGCGGATCTCTGTGAGTTCAAAGCCAGCCTGCTCTACAGAGTGGGTTCCAGGACAGATACACGGAGAACCTTGTCTCAAAATAAATAAATGAATAAATAAATAAAGCAAAACAAAAGAAGAAGTGATGATGAATGGATAAGGTTTAATGAGCAACTATTAATGGATGTTGAAACTCAAAGAGCTGGGAAAACGACTCAGTCAGTACAGTGCTTGCCATGCTGTATCCCGTGGTAACTTCTGTAACCCAGCACCAGGAAAGTGGAGCCTTTGGGGCTCACCCACTATCAAGTCTAGCTGAATCTGGTGAGCTCTGGCTTCAGTGAAAGACCCTGTCTCAAAAGTAAAATGGAGAATGATTGACCTCCACTGTCCAAGTGTGTGTGTGTGTATGTGCGTGCACACACTCACACACACATACACCACACACATGCACAAACACATGCACCACAGACACACACACAAACACTCACGCATGTGCACACACATCACACATACGCAGACACACACATACACACAGCACACACATAGACACACGCCTGCACACACACATGCATACACACATATACACTACAGAGACACACACATACACACACATGTGTGCACACAATTGAAGAGTGCTGGCTTTGATCATAAATTTAGAAAAAGATTGTTTCAGGTCTTTATCTGTCCTGGGGACCCCTCTATAAACAGATAAAAGGAAGGCACTAATAGCTTGGGGATGAGCAGAGCATGGGACAGCTGGTTTTGTCCAGTGGATGACCAGGGGTCAGGAACATGACAGAGAGAATACAGGCTCCAGACCTGCAAGCAGGCCAAGCAGGTTACACACCCACACACGCACACATACACACACACACACACACACACACACACACACGTGCACATACACACCTCTACTCTTCAGTCAAGAGCAAAGAGTTGGTGTGTGGTTACTTGAATTGAGCCCATAGCAGAGGAGGAACCTATTGTGGTGGAGGCCTGAGGCTGGCAAGGGGTGAAATTGGGGCAGAGTGGTGTCCACGGGGAAGTGCCCCCTGTGCTGGGGTGGAGAAGGACCTCCAGTGTTCACTCCCAGCCTTTGCCCGGTAGTGCCCTCAGCTGGCAGCTCTCGGCTCACGGGGTGCCAGGACCATCCTGTATAGGGGGTGCTGCGGTTCGGATGTTTAGTGCCTGTCGTAATGTCTCTGCGCTACAAGCAATTCCTGAGAGCTTCTGTGAGCCGATGGCCCATGAAGCCTGTAGCCTTCGAGGCTGGGATGATGGCAGTGACGAATTGTACTAACAGTGTGATCACTGAGTCCTTCTGCCTCAGAGGAGAAGTAGCCAGTGCTCTGGGGTAGCAAGAATGAAGGTTGGCTTTGGGTTTGAAATCAGCCGCTCTGCCGAACGAGGTTGGCCTGGCAATGTCTGATAATGTGGACTCTTTGTAAGTTGAGCCCTTTTATGCAATGCATATTTAAAACATTTCGCTTCATAGAAACCCAGTCCCCTGTAAATTCCCTATACACTTGGTGTCAGATGTCTTTAAAGGTGAAATTCGTGTACAGGAAATGTCATGCTGATGAAGTGTGCTTTTTAAATCATAGAAACAGTTGCCTTAAAATTAATGAAGCGTCGCCAGATGAGGGAGAAGAGGCCCATCCAGTGTAAAGATGATTAAAATTCGGGTCAGAAGTCTGACTCAGTCAGACTAAATTTTTTAATGAGATTTCAGAAAATTAATTGGGCGAATGCATTTTTATCCTTCTAACATGTAATTTTATGCTCCTGTTTAGGGAGCAAGCATAGGGAGAGAAAGGTTTTTCCATGGCCAAAGCATATTGTGGTTCAAACATTTTAAACTCAAATTAGCAAGGGGTGGGGGTAGGGGTACTTGTGGCCCAGTTTGATCTGATTTAGGAGAGAAGGCCCGGGTTCTCTGGGCTTTCTGGGGTAGGATAAGTGTCCTAGGGGAGTCCTCTCCCATTGTCCCCTATCTGTCCTTCCTGGGCTTTAGAAAACTAGTGACATTTCTAGGAAAGATGCATCTGGGGACAGTTTCCATGGACCTCAGCTGTCCCCTTGGCTGCTGTACATCAGGCCACGCCTGCTGTCTGTGGTCAGGCTCTCAGAGGCTGCTCCATCCTCCCTCTGCAGCCCAGGCCTTCTCCTTGGGGCCTCTGTGCAGGAAGCCGTTTGGGGGGTTGCAGGAAGCCGTTTGGGGGGTTGCAGGATCAGCAGGCTATCTCCTCATAGCCCTGGAAGCTGGCTGACTCCTCTGCCTTTGAGGGAGAGCTGAGGGCCACCCCTGCTCTAAGGAGCCAGGAATGGCTTCCCATTGTGTCATCCCTGCCAGCAGCCCGCAGTGTGCAATCGTAGTGAATGGATGACAGGCTCAGGGTCACTCGGGTGATCGGCAAACTGGACCATGCCCAGGGTACCCTGGGTTGAGAAACAGGCCTGGCAAGACAGAGCAACACAGACCTACAGACCTAGCCCAGAGGGTGAGCAGACTCTGCCCCCCACAATTAAATCAGGGTCAGAACTCTGATGCTCAAGAGCCCTTGTGTCATGAGACGCCCCACACCTAAGCAGAGGCTTCCCTGGAGCACCCTGCTAGCAGCTTGCTGGCAGTCCCCACCCCGGTGGACTGGACATGCCCCCAGCGCACGTCACCACCCAAGCTCCACTGCAGTGAGCCATTTCTCTAACTAGGGTGACTGCAACAAGAAATACAAATCTGGGTCACTCATGTGCAGAACTAGAACTCCAGTCTCCGTGTGGTTTTCACCCTCCCACCCCGCAACCGCCTGCATCCATTAGACTTTGGAGCCACGGCAGAATTGGGCAATGTGGCCTCCCTGGCTGGGCAGGATGTCACCGAGGCCTTCAGGCAACAGTCTGTCACCCACCCTGGTGAGAAGGCTTTCACAGAGCAAGTAGCCTCGGTGCTCAGCCTTCTCCATCCTTCACTGTCCCTGGGGGTGCCTCCCCCCAGGACCGCCAGCAGCACAGCCCCAGGTCCAGCAAGGAGTCTGCTCTACGAGCCAGGCCTAGGTCTGGAGGAAGAGTCCTTCCTTGAGCTCTCAGGAGGAGTTCAAAGCAGTCCCCAAGTAGCACACAGTAGGTACCTAATGTGCAACAGCACGTTGTCACGTCTGCAGACACGTCTGTCCCCAAGAGCCACCGTGGCTCTCTCTAAGCGTGACCGGCTGTGTCCTGCAGTTGGCAGTGCAGGCTCACTCCTACCGGGCCTTGAAGGAGAAGATGAGGTAGCGGCTAGCACTGCTGCACCCACCAGGCCTCAGTTTCCAGCACTGGGGGAGCCGTGGGACCCCACTCACAGTCTCCGAAGGTCTAGTGAGTTGACATTGAGGTGGCAGCTGCGCCATGCCAGGCATGTATAGTGCTCGGGGAAGCTGGTCCTCCTAAGTGGCCACTTGGTGGGTAGGTACGGTACCGCAGCTCCTTCAGAGTTTGCCCAACAGAGTCCTCTGCCTCCTGCCCAAGTCAGCAGGCAGGGATCTCCCAACCGCCCTCCCTGGGTGCCTCTAGACCTCAGAGTCCAGGTCAGCCCAGCAGTGGCCCTGCAGAGGGAAGGAGGCCGCGCGAGAGGGGGCTGGCTGGCTGGCCATAGTCTTCTTGGCCAGGTCCCTCTCTTCCACCATTGCTTTCAGGGTTAGCTCGGCAGTTTCCTTGAAGTCTGGGTGCAGGTTGTCCAAAGACGCTTCCCCTTCCTGGTGAGGAGTGGCTGGCTGTCCCCGCTGATGGTGACTGGCCTGGGGTGGGACTAGGAGTGTGCTCTGCCCCTCTTGGGCCGACATTTGTCGCACACTGCTTACCAGGTCCATTACTGGGGGTGGCGAGTGAAATTCCTTCTGTGCGTAGAAGGTGCTATTGGGGTTCTGGGGCCCCAGCCATCTAGTCCCAGGCTTTCTGCTTCAGCCTAGCTGATCACCCAAGCCTCTGTCTCCCACAGAGACACCCCAGCACCATATCTTTTCGCTGCTCGCTGGCGGACTTCCAGATTGAGAAGAAGATTGGCCGAGGACAGTTCAGCGAGGTTTACAAGGCTACCTGCCTGCTGGACAGGAAGACAGTGGCTCTGAAGAAGGTGCAGGTGAGTTCAGGGCCACAAGGCAGAGGAGAAGAGGGAGACAGGAAAAGGCCTGTCCGCCCCAGGGGACAGCAGGAAAGAGAGAGGGGAAGAGAGGAGAGGTACATGGGCGGGATCTGTCTTTTAAAGGGGTCCCCTGCACCTGCATGCAGACTATGAAACCATCGAACCCTGGGCTGACCAGGGCACTGCCTGAGTGCATTCTGCCAGGTGACAGGGGCGGGCCAGCATAATGCCTGAGTCCTTACATTCACTGTGACCTTACCTCCTAGGGGACTCAAGTTTAGCCTCCTGTAAAACAAAAAGGGAAATAAAAGTATGCACACATTAGGTACCTACTGTATACAGGGATATGCCCAGACATGGGCCCTGACAGTAGCCCTGTGGGCTAGGATTACTGTCCCGTCTGTTTAGATGAGGAAAACAATAGCAGCCCACTAACTCTCTAGCCCAGAGAGGGTGTAGGAGAAAGCAAGATACTCCCTGCCCCATCCGGCGCTGGCTCTGAGAGCCCAGCCTGCCCTCTGTGAGCCTTCTAAGTGAGGGGAGGGATAGAGCAGCAAGGCCAGGCTGGGAAGCACACAGCGTGCGCCTGGAGTCCTCCCCACAGGCTGCTGTATTCTGCTGGTTCTCTGCAGAGTAAGGTGAGCTCCTGGGGCCTAGAGTCCCTGGATAGGGAGGATTGCTCAGCCAGGCATGCATGGGAGACGATGGGAAGACACTAGCTGCACAGACCTGTGACGCTCACATTTGCTCCAGGGCTCTAGGGCATCAGGCTGCTGCAGTTGAGAAACTGTCTGCTCTTTCCTTTCCAGAGGTTATTCGGGGCCATCTGACTTCTTTTTTGCATAATGGCTGTTGTGCTGGCATACTGCCAATGGCTGCCTTCAGTCTGCCCCTACAAGTCTTAGGCTTCAGGTCCCTGTTGAAGGAGTGGCATAGCACTTGTCAGGGTGTGACCTCAGCAAGGCTCGGAGGCTGTGGTCCTCTGTGAGGTGGATACAAGAGATCCTGGTAGCATGGTCTCATGTTGCTGAGAGTCGGGACTGTGCTCCTTCTGAGGCCCTTAACAACGAGCAGGGTGAGCCGGGACTCGAACCCAGTCTGTGGGCACTGGTTTTTAACTGTTCCTTTTCTGGCTTCTTCTTGCCCTAGATCTTTGAGATGATGGACGCCAAAGCCAGGCAGGACTGTGTCAAGGAAATTGGTCTTCTAAAGGTGAGTGGCCTGGGTCAGGCCAATCTTGGTTGGGCCAGCTCGCTAGGTTTCTATGGGTCAAACACCCTGGGCCTATCAGGACAGCCCACATGCAGCTGTCCACGCCTCCTCCCCAGTCATCTCCATTTTGATTTCCGCAGAGCCACAGACAGAAATTCCAGACTAGACTTGGGCCCCAGGCCGGAGGCTGGAAGAGGGGGAAAGTGTTGGGTTACAGTACTGATGTCTTCCTTTTCAAGCTGTGTACCTTTCACAAGGGACTTAACCCCCACCAGCCTCTGTGTAGCCATCTTCTACCCGATGGGTTTGAGAGGATTGTGTAAATTAAACAGGGCAGGTCTGGGTGGTGGAATGAGTGCCCTATAAACGTGAGCATAGGAAGTCAATCCCTAGAACCAGCTTTTTGTTGTAAGACAGGGTTTCTCTACACAGCCCTGGCTGTCCTGGAGCTCTCTCTGTAGACCAGGCTGGCCTTGAACTCACAGAGATCCACCTGCATCAAAGGCATGCGCCCCTCTCCCCCAGCCTCCATATTTGTTTTTTTGGTTTCTTTAAACAACCAAGCGAGGTATTGTACACTCTAGCCCCAGCGCTGAGGAGGTGCAGACCCGAGGGCCTCTGGGCGCACTGGCCAGCTAACCCAGCCTACTTAGCAAGCTGGTAATCAGTAAGAGATCTTGTTTGAAAAAACAAGAAATGGCCAGCAAAGACAGCTCAATGAGTATAGCACTTGGCATGCAAGCCACCTGAGCCAGTCCCCAAAGCCCATGCAAAGACGGGAGAACTGATTTGTTGTCGTCCTGTGACCGCTACACACGTGCTGTGGCATGTGTGCGCGCGCGCACACACACACACACACACACACACACACACACCGCCGTGAAATGGGTTAGTCTGAAAATAAAATGACAGAACAAGTTGAGGAACGTTTCTGTAGTCTGTGAGCAGGTTTGAACGTTAAAGCTAAGCCAGGAATGGTGTCATCCACCTGTAATTACATAGCTGCCACACAGAGGAGGCTAAGGCACAAGAATCACCTGGAGTTAAAGGCTAGCCTGGGCTACATAGTGAATACCAGGCCAGTCTGGGCTGGTGTACAGAATGAGATCCCCAGGGAATGAGCAAAACACAAGCTAAGGGTATAATCAGAAGTTTGTAGGAGAAAGCTACAGAGACTTATAGCTGGAGCACACAGAGTTGTCCCTAAATACCAAGCTACAGAGACTTATAGCTGGGGCACACAGGGTTGTCCCTAAATACCAAGCTACAGAGACTTATAGCTGGGGCACACAGGGTTGTCCCTAAATACCAAGCTACAGAGACTTATAGCTGGGGCACACAGGGTTGTCCCTAAATACCAAGGGCATTGGCCAGGAAAGAAGGCCAGAATTGTCTGTGTCTGTCATGGCCATCATACAGACACCAGGGGACACCACCAGCAACCCCAGCACCTGACTGACAAAGGTCTCATGCATATATCTGCTGACAAATCAATATGATGAGTAAATAACCCAGGGTCTAATCAGGCCTGAGCAGTTCCGTGTTCTCAGAGCTCCAGGGCATCCGGCCCTACCCCCACCTTACCCCATGCCCACTCCCCTCGGTTCCTAGCACCCCCTGCCTTGTTCATTCATCAGCCCCTCTGTCCTCTGTTCAGCCCCGGGATGCACTATGTCCTCCTACCTACCATAGGGCCTTTGCACGAGCCATATCCACTCAGACCCCTGCCCTCAGAGATTCTCATTAGGCTTGAGAGCAGCCTTTCCTGCTGGGCTCAAAGGCTTTTGGAGGCTCGTAAACATGCTCTCAGTCAGTCAGTCAGTCAGTCCCTGGCTGTCCACCGATAGGTGAGCAGTGTCAACCACGTGGCAGTACTGTTGGGTGTCTTCTCTTGCTTCCCTAGACCCAGTAGCCATGTATAATGTCAACCCCCAGGGTCCTCTCTGTGAGGCAGAGCTGTTTTTACCACCCTGCCTGGCCTCCATCACTTCCTCAGCGTGGAGACCAGAGGCAGGAACCTACGCTGGGAGAGTAAAGGGTCCTTAGGGTAGAAAGGATTCTTGGCTGGCCTGATGCTGGCTGGGGGTGTCTCGGGGGTGGGGGGGGGTGTGCAGGGCAGGCACAGCAGCCACGCCACTCATCACTGTGTGACCCCTCCCCCCTCTGGTGCAGCAACTGAACCATCCGAACATCATCAAGTATCTGGACTCCTTCATCGAAGACAATGAGCTGAACATTGTTCTGGAGTTGGCTGATGCGGGCGACCTCTCACAGATGATCAAGGTCAGAGCGCCCTCCTCTCTACCTGAATGGCCCTCCTCCATGTCCCAGCGGCAGCCGGGCCCTGACCTCCTATGCACTGTCAGGCTCCGTGGGCACACAAAGCAGGGCAGACGGTGACTGGGCGAGGGCCGCGGTACACATGGGGACCCTTTGGACCACCCACACTGCTCAGAGCACATGCGGACTCTTTCCTCTTCAGAAGGAACAGGAACCTCTAGGGATCAGACTCCAGTCCCCGTCTTAAGTTCCCATGGCTGTGATGGAACACCACTTGTGGGGGGGAGAGGGTTTATTTGGCTCGCACCTCTCCCCCAAAGGAAGCCAGGACAGGGACTCACACAGAGCAGGAACCTGAGGCAGGAGCTGATACAGAGGCCAGGGAGGGCGCTGCTGACTGGCTTTCTCCCCTGGCTTACTCGACCTGCTTCCTTTTAGAACCCAGGACCACCTGTCTAGAGATAGCACCATCCACACATGGATAGAGCCTCCCCCATCAACCACTAATTAAGAAAATGCCCTGCGGGCTTGCTTGCAGCCTGGTCTTACTGCTTCTTAAATGAGGCTCCTCCTCTCTGATGACTCTAGGTCGCATCAAGTTGCCCTAAGATCAGTCAGCCCAGTTGACCCCTTATCAGCCTGTCACGAAGCACGGTCACGTCTTGTTTTTTTCCCAAGATCACACACTGATATCGACATCACAATATAAAACATCTTCTAAGCTTAAAAAGTCTCACAGCCCTCTACACATGCAAACACACTAGAATCCAGGCTCTTTAAAAATTTCAAGTCTCCCCAGCACTCGGGAGGCAGGCCGATCTCTGTGAGTTCGAGGCCGGGCTGGACCGACAGCCTCCAAAACAATACAGAGAAACCCTGTCTCGTAAAACCAAAAAAAAAAAAAAAAATTCCACATCTCCTTAAAAGTTCAAGGTCTTTCAGCTGTGGGGTCCTGTAAAATAAAAATATAAGTTAAATATTTCCTTACTCTGGGGGGAGAATAGGGCGCAGTAACAAAGCAAAAACCAAGCCCCCCTGCGTAAACAGTGCAGCGCCCGTCCGCTCGCCGCCTCCGGGGTTCTTTCAGAGGCCTGGGCACACAGCTGTCTCTGCAGAGAGGCCTGGGCCACTGCTGCAGCTCAGCCCTCCGCAGCGCACACAGCTGTCTCCTAAGCTCAGGCACGCTCCACTCCATTTCTGCTGCTCTTCTTGGTGATCATCCCATGGTACTGGCGTCTCAAGCGGCGGAGTCTTCTGCTGCGGGTGGGCCGCACTCTTCACCGGTAGACCCTCCTGGGCTCTCGCAGTGCCAGGCCGCAGCTGCTCTCCATGTCCCCCGCATGTCTTCCGGCCCCCCCCCCCAGTGATTCTTACACCACCCAGTTCAGGTGCCAGCACAAGGTGCAGCTTCAGCCACCCCGAACACAGCTCCCGCGTGCTGACTCACTGAAGCTGGTCTCTTCTGTCATCGCTAACTCCTCAGCGCCAACCGACCAGCATCAGTTAGCCCGGCAAAGCAGAGGTTTCCCTGGAGTGGTTCAGTCTCTTGTTAATCACACCCAGCTGTTCAGCCCCAGCTGAACAGAGCCACAGAGTCTTAATTCAGATTGCGCAGTGGCCCTAGAGAGTCTTTAAGTGACGTGACCTATGGCTCTAACTGCCACATTCTGGAGTAGGGGAAACTGAGGTCCAGAAAGGTTGGCTTGTCTGAGAATACTGTGTGGGAACTCAGACTGTGTACCTGGCCTGGAACTGGTCAGAGGTCATTGTCTTCAGGACCCAGCCTTTGGACAGGTGTATTCTTTACCACACAGAGAGGATTCTATGCCTGGTCTGTGAGAGCCTGAGCCACTGTGAGCTTTCACAGTGGTCTTCGATATTCCATAAGCTGTCTTGTCCCCCTCTCAGGACTCACAAGGGGAACTTCTGTGGGTTTGCTTTCAGGGACATGGCAGCTCCACTGACAGAGTGCCACCATCCTCAGCAAAGCTCAGAGAAGTTTAGTCACCAGCCAAAGGCAGCACAGCCCTAACCCGTGACCTCTGATCCTTGCTTCTCCCTGTTGGCATGGGTCCCCATCTCCAGCCCCTAAAGTGGCCCCCATCACCTACCTTCCCTGAACCTAGTCTGCCCTGAGTGAAGCCAGACCTCATAGCGGGCTCCCACTGTGTGTGGGTACGAACCGACATGGATTCTATCTTCCCAGCAGGCACCGGGGGCTGAGCAATTGTTTGTCGGTTGCTCTTCAGAAATTTGGCCCCTAGGAATATGGTGTCGTTGGGAAACGGCGTTGCTGAGCTGTTATCACCTGCTTTTATATTTCTGTTGACGTATTAATGCATTTGCGGGGCATTAATCTGCACGCGGATCCCTGGTGGGCACAGACGTGATACATCATGTCTAGGATCCCTTCACTCGCTTCTCGTTCACGCGCCATCTCCCGCACACATACCCCGAGAATACATGCAGCCCTCCATCTGCCATGTGCCAGCCCCCAAGACCGCGGGGTCCCTCCATTGCCGGGGGTGCCCCCAGGGGCTTGAGTTCTACCAGGAAGGCAGGCTCTAGAGTGAGCCAGGGTGGGGTCTGCTGAATGGGCGTGCTTCCTGGAGGAGGAGATCCCTGGGCCGAGTTGCCCCCAGAGCAGGTGGGGAGAGCCGGATAAGCACTCCAGACGGTGACAGTGAGATGCACTGTGGGCCAACAAGGAACACCAGGTGAGGCGGTGACGGTGTGGTCAAGCCACGGAGAGTTTCTCAGTGCCGCTCAGGGTTGGGGACTGCTGCTTCCTAGGGAGCAGATACAGCGAGCCCTGTATTTGGAAGACTGGGTGCCAAGCAGAGGGTCGGAGCAGGGGCAGAGAGCCAGAGCCCTCCTTGCTCTCCACATATGCTGTAGCCCACGGGCCTGAGACTCCCCTGTGACCTCTCAGTCTGGAAGGGAGGCAGACAGCATTTGGCTGGGGGCTGAGCTCCAATGTCCGCCCTTTCCCAGTGACCCTTTGGGAGAGGGTTCTGAGGAAGGACTGTAAGTTCTAAAGAAGATGGCCTGGGCAGGCCTGCCTCTGTGTGCCCGGGCTCCACAGAGAACCCATGTGGCTGCTGCCTGGCCTTCCTCCCTAGTGAGTGCCTCTCTTCCCTGCCTGCAACAGCTGACTACACCGGCTTCCTCACAGGCAGGGCTGGGACTGTGGCAGCGCCAGCCAGCAGGGGAACTGGACCTGGGGTGGCTTAGCAGGCTGGTGCCCAGTTTCCTCATACCCAACACACTGCATGGTGCCTTGTAGGATCTGTTGTCACACCCCTTCCAGGGGAACCCAGCCTTCGCAGCCAACCCCGAGCTCGGGTCACACCACAGTGGTCCCACTGGTCTTAGTTAGAGGTCACTGGTCAGTGGGGGGCAGTAGGGGCTGTGTCCTGAGGGCTTGCAGCCTCAGGGGCCAGTCAACCACAGTGCTGGCATTGTTTACAGGGCTGGTGAAGCCCAGAGCTGCCACGGTCTGAAACCCACCAGAGACTCTGCGCCTTCCCACTAAATGTCAGCTGGCACTTATAGAGTGTGACATTTAGAAAATCACCACTCCTGACTGCACACATCCCCACGTAAACACTATAATGAGGACCAAATAGCATTATGGTGTAAATAGCAGCCTGCCCAGCCTGCCGCAGAGGCCTGGGGGTGGCCCGAAGCAGACGTCTTCTGGGAGACCAGGACAGCTAGGCCTCCAGCTCCTCCTGGAAGGGCCTCTGGAGAGCCTCACGGGGTTTAGCAGCTGTGACAGCCTCGCATCTGGAGTGTCCAGCTCTGGAATCCAGCTCAGGCACCTCCTGCTTGGTCTCTCTGGGCACGGTCCCTCTCACAGGTTCCCAGCGTCTCTAGGTGTGGTGAGGAACTTGAAGGCCTAACCGACCTCAGTGCCTTCATGCTTCTTGCTGAGGGCCCAGCAGCATGGCTCAGCATGGACTGTGCCGGCTGGGCAGGGCCTTCTCTCCACTCCTGCTCCCTCTACAGGTGGGGCAGGCACCCCAGTAGCTCCTGGCTTTCTCCACCAGAGTATTTGCTTAGCAGTAGGCCAAAGTGCTGCCGCTTGCCACTAGAACCGCAGCCTGGTGAGCAGGTAACTGATGCCTGGGAGCTCATGCACCCCAACACACAACTGTTACCTCAGCTGTGCCTTAGGATGTGTTCCTGCATTGTCCTTCCAGAACCTTCCGTTTCAGTCCTCTCCTTCAGTGCTGCCTGGGGGAGTTGGTTTTTGTCTTTTTTCTTTCTTTTTTTCCTGGGGGGTTGAATGTGGTTTACTAGGTCCTCTCTAAAATAGGTCCTCTCTAATTTTATGTCAACTTGACATAGGCTAAAGTAATCTGAGAGACGGGACCTTAACTGAGAAAATGCCTCTATAAGATCTGGCTGTGGGCAGGCAAGCCTGCAGGGCATTTTCTTAGTTAGCGACTGATGAAGGAGGGCCCAGCCCGTCGTGGTTGGGTCCTGGGTTCTCCAAGCAAGCAGGGTGAGCAGGCCATGAGGAACAAGCCAGTGAGCAGCACCCTCTGTGGCCTCTGCCTCAGCTCCTGCCTCCAGGCTCCTGCCCTGTGTGAGTTCCTGTTCTGATTGTGGTGTGGTAGTAACAGATGAAATAAACCCTCTCCTCCCAAAGTTGCTTAGGTCATGGAGTTTCATCACAGCAGTAGACACTCTAACTAGGACAGTAGGCAAGGAGGCAGATGAATGCCCACTGAAGCCAAGGGGCTGCTTGAGAAAGATAGCCAGTCCCCTCGGGGTCTCTGTGCCTTTAACAGTCACGTGACACTGGGACTTGCTGGCTCTGAGGACATGGGGGCAGCAATGGCCACCTCTCAGGCGTGGCTTGGCTGCCTTCCTCCCACACCAAGCCGAGGCTGAGGCTGAGTGTCCCTTTCTCGGGATCCCTCTGGGCCAGGCTCCAACCTCTCAGTGCATGGGGGCTGAAGAGAGGTGTGGGCACAGCATTCTGGCCCCGCCTTGTTCGCTCAGCCCCACCACTGCCCCCCCCCAAGCTCACCCAGGCCTGTCTGTCTGTCCCCACAGTACTTCAAGAAGCAGAAGCGGCTTATCCCCGAGAGGACCGTGTGGAAGTACTTTGTGCAGCTGTGCAGCGCTGTGGAGCACATGCATTCTCGACGCGTGATGCACCGAGGTGTGTGCCCCGTGGCGCCTGGGACCCCAGCCCTGAGATCTCCGAGCGCCCCAGGAGCCGCCCTAAGAATGACGTGGGCCAGTAGGGTTCCCCATGCCTGGTATCCAACAGCTGCGCTGGCATCTGTTCCTTGTCAGGAAGCACCTGTGAGGGCAGGGGACCCGCCTGATGCCAGTAGTCGTCACATAGGCTTCAGGGGACAAGGGCCACCTCAGCACTGCCTGCACTCGTCCCAGATGCGACCAGTTCTGGCACTGAGGCCGGTTTTGCCCAGAGAAAGGAAGTTTCCTGTGGGCTTTGGCACCTTGGTAGGAGTTGGCTAAGCAAACTTCACACCCAACCCACACCAGGAAGTGAGGTCGAACCCCAGTGGGTGCCTCTGAGAGGCACCGGCAGGTGTGAACCTGCTGGAACCCACGTCTCCATTTCTCCGCCTGTTCAGCCCCTGTGTGTGAGGTGCAAAGCTTGGTGCTCGCAGGGACTGTCTACCGTGCAGTTGACAGTCCTCCGGCATGGGGAGACGTAGTATAGAGGTCTCTGCTCCCCACTCCCAGCCAACCTGTGAAGGAGGGGAGACAGACAGACTCACAGGTGAGAAAACGAGGCTTGGGGAGTGACTGTCCCAAGATCCCCCTGGGGGGCAAACAGGCAAACCTCAGAGACGGCCTGCCTGTGGGCTTTGCTGTTCTAGCGGGAATCGGCTTTGCCCTGACTGACGCTCACCCATCGCCGAAAGGTCCTTTGTGGACACTCCCAGGCCTGTGGCCTCCGATCCCTCCTAAGCCTGCCCTCCCACACCAACCCCATGTCCTTGCCCTGCAGACATCAAGCCGGCCAACGTGTTCATCACAGCCACGGGCATTGTGAAGCTTGGCGACCTTGGCCTGGGCCGCTTCTTCAGCTCGGAGACCACTGCAGCCCACTCACTAGGTAAGGGGCCTGTGGGGCTGGGCGGCCTGGCCAGAGGGCAGACATTCTCCTGGGAGTATTGCATAGTGTGGGGAAGATGGTTTTTGAGTCGCTAGAGTTCACTCTTGCTTTGGTATAGATCCAGAACAGAGCAAACTGAGGCCCAGCGGGGCCACTGGGGACCTCCCTGTACCCCAGGTCACGTCTTGAGTATGCCTGGAAGGCCAACAGACCCTGCCATACAGAGTGCGCTACATCTGCCTGCTTTGGGGGCTGGGGCTGGCCTGCTGGACCGTGACGGTCTTGATGCCCTGCTGGGGGTGTGGAGAGGGTGGCTGCTGAGAGACAGGGAGAGGGACAGGAAAAGACTCAGGCTGATGAGCTTCAGGCTGGGGGGCTGTGTCAGCTTCCAGATCTGTGTGCCTGGTGTGTAAGAGCAAAACACGTTGAGTGACGGAAGGGAGCCTCCGCCCTGTAGTTAGCTTATAGGAGCCGGCATGGCCAGCGGGATGCAGACAGGTGTGCTGTGCGTAGCCAGGTGTAGCGGGGTTCACCAGGGACCTGAGAGGCAGGCATCCCCCCCCGACTCTCCCCTAGTCAGTCCCTGGCATCTCTTGGACATCGCCAAGGGAGACAGAGGGGACGGGGCCAGCATGTCTGGTCTGTGGTTCTACTCATTTCTGTTCCACTCTGCAGCTCCAATCTGTCTCTCCCATCCCCCACACGTGGGTGCCTGCAGCCAGCCATGTGCCAACAGCAGCTTCTGGTGGCAGCATGGGTGCTCTGTGGGAAACTCCCCTCTGGAAACTGTCACTGTTCATTCAGCAGCCCATGGCGGCTCAGACTCAGGGCATGCACTTATGAGAAATGAGCCAGAGGCTTGCAGGGCTGTGATGAGGCATGGGCCTCCACCTGACCTGGGAATACCTGAACTGGCCTCTCCCTTCACTCCCCTGATTCCCTGACCCCAAGGAAGCGGCCCCAAAGACCTCAGGATGCTGTGTTACACCTCCACTGGCCTTCAGGGGCCACAGGGCCTAGAAACTGGAATTCAGGGTGTTGGGGTGATTTCAAGGTTATATGGTGTCCCTCAAAACCAAGGCTACAATGCTAAGTGCCTACTTCTTCTACAAGGTCAGGGACAGAGGTGTCCATCAGGGATCCCCAGCTGCTGACTCTGACCGGAAGGGAAACCTCACCTTCTGAAGGCTCCAGTCCACTCTGACCTGTTTACAGAGTTAGGATGGTGTCTTTCCTTTGTTCCTCCCACGTGCTAGGAAGTAAGTGTTTGGCCCTTGATAACACACCATGGCCATTTGGCTGAAGCGTTTGGAAAAACTGCAGCAAAGAGCAAAAGCACTGCCCCCTAGGTCTGTCAGTCAGGCCCAAGCCGCGCTCTGTCCTGTCTTGGAGAAGATGGCTGCAGTGGCTAGTCAGAGCTGGTTAGGATCTCCTTGTTAGCGACGGCAGAGCCCCGGCTCACCCGACTGTGATTTTATCCACTTGGACTGCTTCTCTTATTACATTAATGAGAAGGAGCTGGGACTTGAAAGAGGCACCTGAGCAGACCCTGCAAGATGGGTGCAAGGTGCCCTCCCATTCCCATCGCTGCTCCGGGCCAAGTGTGCCACAGCCCAGGAGGCACCGCGGGGCTGAGGGCGCTCCACCAGTCTGAGCCTGCTGGACCACTCTGGAGCCAAGGCCCTTCCTCTCCGTCCCTAATCTGACCTGGGGGTTGGCAGTGCAGACCCATAACCCAGGACCCAGAGTCTCCAAGTTCCAGAGGAAAGCTCCCTCCTGCCACCAGTTCTGTGCGCAGCCTAATGCCCGCAAATCCGGTTGGGCAAGAAACAGAACTAATGGCTATCACACCGTGACACGAGAAGGGTAGGGGCCTTCTCACCTGTATATGGCTGTGAATGATTCACCCTCTGCACCTAATGTGCACCTACTATGTGGGGATGCTGGGGCAGTAGCCTCCTCATCTCCTAAAGCTGCTGACCCCGAGCCACGTTTATGCAAATCCGTCCCCTGCCTTCCCTCCCTGGCCCCTCCTTAAGCTCCCATTTGCTAACGGGAGGCTGGCATGAAAGGGCATTAGTCAGTGCCACGGTCGGGCTGACAGGTGCGGTACCCAGCGGTGGCAGAACGGCTGCCTCAGTGTCAGGAAGAGGAGCCATAATTAGAGCTCGGGACAGAATGAGCGTCAGACGAATTACCAGGCAGCAGATCATATTTGTCAGGAAGGATTGCATACATAAAAATTAAGTGACAGTACACGCCGGCGTAATGAAAGAAAAATGAAAGATTTGCCTATACACAGCTCACAAGCTACAAGCAAGTGTCTCGCTCCAAGCAGCGGCAGCAGCTTCGAGACAAATGGTGGGTCTGAAGAGCAGAAATGATGCCGGCCTTGTGCTTGGCAGCGGTGACAGTGGTGACAGGGTGCCTCAGGCTGAGACTGGGCAGGGTAGGAAGGGAGGTTGCTCAGAGCCAGGCCTCGTGGGTCTGCCTGGTCTCTCTGGGACTGCGGGAGCAGAGCCCGACAGGGACAACAAGAAGCCAAGGGGCCTGGCTGCTCCCCAGGCCTGGCTTAGTCACGGGCTTGCGTACCATTGTGTTCCCGCACCATGCTGGCACGTGTGACTCAGCAGCCTTTACTGCCTTCGGGGGGCACAGACTGCAGAGAGAGCTGGTGAGAAGTCGGGCAGAGCGCTTTCCCGAAGGCCAGGAGCGTGTGTGCAGCTGCTGGGCTCTGAGTCTAAACTCTGCCTGGAGGAGCCAGGGTCACCCAGGATCGGTCGCCACCTTAGCCCCCAGCCACCCTGCACCCCAGTGTCACCCGGCTTACTGAAGGGGCAGGTCATACGGTGGGCTTTAGGAGCATTTAAGAAACATTTGCTTTTATAAGGTCCATACCCAGGACCTTCGTCCTCACTTAGCTGAGGAGGCTCAGGGCTGAGAGAAGTGAAGCCCTACCAGTGGTCACTGGACACGGGCAAGGACGCGTCCCTTGTCCGGGTGGTCTTCAAAGGGTGGAGACAGGTAGGGAGATGCCCCACCAGGCTGCCTGAGGCAGGGACACCTGGTGGGGAGAAGCAGAGCTCTCCTTGTCATTTGCCAGTGCTGCCATGCACAGGACCCTGCTGTGTGCGACCACAGTGAGCTGTAAGGTGGATTCGTGGTCCACACAGGCGGACAGACATCCCCAGGGATGCTCGCTCACTAGTGAGAACTCACCAAGGACCAAACACTGTTGTGATCCCCACTCTCCATCATCCTGTCGGGAAAACCCACTGCTAAGCACCAGGGCATCAGTGGTGAGGAACCAAGGCAGGGGCATCTTGCCCTTTGACCAGAGAGCGGCCAGAACAGATCACACCAGGGGGCAGTTTGCATAGCTTGCCTTCTGTCCTTCCTGGAGTCCAGACTTCCGCCCCACCTGATGGACGATGCCATCTGGGGAAGGGCAGCTTGCAGACAGTGCCCTTTTTCATGCCTAGTGTCTCAAACAAGTGGGCATTTCTAACCCTGGCAGTGTGTTTTGACAGGGATGACTCTTGTGGGAGGACTCTTCAGTCAGCCTTGCACTTTGAGGCCCGATTTCTCTGGGTTCTGCAGGTTTGGAATCCCCAGTTGTAGGGTAAAGACTCGGGAAGGTCAGGCTTGGGTAGGCTCCTCTTTCTTCTGTGCAGTCCTGACCCCTGCCATCAGGAGGGACTGTGACCAGGCAGGGCTCACTCTGCAGCATGTGTGAAACTAGTTGGTGCAAGGTGGCCTCCGGGACAGGACACTGCCCAGGGAGATACTCTCCTGCTAGTTTCTCTCCAGGTCCCCAGAGTTGCCCTTTCCTAGGGTCTGGAGACGCATCTCCCGTGGCCTGCTGCGAGGGTCGGTTTCTCTGAAGCCTGCTGCCCCATAAGTGATGCCCTATGCTGCACCCTTCCCCATTTGTCGTCACCTGGATAGGTAAAGTGGCACCCTTCCTGGGGGCTATGCTCAGTGCAGGCCTGTCCTGACTCATGAGAAGCTGTCCCCTGCTGGACACATCCCGGGGCGGGCAGCACAGAGCCCCAGCTCCACCAGCCGCAGGTGTAGGGACAGACTGATGTGTAAATGGGCTCTGATGGGCAGGCAATAGATGAATGGACAGATGAGGACAGGCAGGTGAGCGGGTGAACTGCAGGCGGCCTCCTGGAAGAAAGTTCCTCCCTGGGTGTGGTGGCGCACATCTGTAATTCCAGCACAGGAGGCAGAGGCAGGAGGATCGTAAGTTCAGGGTCAGCTTGGAAGGGCTGGAAGTGGGGTTCAAGGGTAGGACATTAGCACGGGCTAAGTCCAGGTTCAGACCCGCACTGTAACAGAAAACGGAAGTGAAGGATGCAGGTGAGTGAGCCCAAGGACCACCTGTTTTATGTGGAGGTGCTAGGCCATCTTCAAAAAAGAAAATAATTAAAATTAAATAAAAAAGCCATCATGGAGGTGGAAGAGCGATGTAAGGAGGGGAAGCGGCTCCCTGCCTCCCCTCAGCAACCCTGGCTCTCATGCAGGCTGTGCCGGGACCTGCGTTAAAGCCAGAGGGAGAAAGTGGTGGCTAGCCTCGCTGGAAGTCCCCAGTGCCAAGCTCAGTGGGCAGAGTCAGAGCTGAACACACAGCAGCCAGAGTTGGTTTGGGGAAGAGGACTAAGACCAGCACAAGGCTCTAGAACCCCTCACCTCCAAATAGTCTGGCCCAGGCTTCCTGGGGATCACCGCACCCTAGGGTGCTTCTTGCCTGGGCCTAGCAGATATAAAAGGTGCCTAGGACACGTGGGAGGAGCCACAGTTCCGACCCCTGCCTCCTGCCAGCCCTGTACCGCCATCCTTGTATTATGGGTCCCTCCAACTGTAGCACCTGGGTGCTGGAATCCAGTGCCACTTGTCCCTAGGCTCTCACTGCTTACCAAGACCTGTGGATTCTGTCCTGTGGTTTGGCCACTGGCTTGGTTTTTTTGAGTTCTTGTGACGGGACTACACAGGTTTATTCCTGATATCCCACTTGCCCTCAAGAGGTCACAGCTGCACATGTTAGCTGTGCAGCCAATTTCACTGAGGAACCACTGGCCCCTGATTACCACCATAGCGTCTGAGTGCAGGCTAGGATGTTCAGTTCTCAGCCATGTCTTTGACGATGAAGCAACGGTCATGGTTAGACTTGTGGCTTCACGGGGACCATGCCTCAGACCATTATCCACTGAGTAAGTGGAGCATTAGGCTGCAAAGAAAAAGAGTGAAAAGATATGCACAACCTGTCATATAACATACCCGTGTCCCCTTGCTCAGGAACCACAGCCCACAGAAATGTACATCCTACCGTTTGGAGCAAAACCGAGGTTTTTACCCCAGTCCCTGAAGATTCCATCACATTCCCAATTACTAGGGGCTGCTAGCATGTAGTCTTTGGGGGCATGTTTCAGACTCAAACCATCTTGGTTAGTTAGGTGTTGGTCCATGTCAGGGAGATATTGGGGTGGTTTTCTCTGTCCCTGTATATTAGTTACCTTCTTGTTGCTGTGACAAGATCCCATGACCAGAAGTAAAAGCTGATTCTAGGCCACAGTTCCAGAGATGGAGTCCGCTGGGGGAGGCATGGGAGCTGTGCTGGCTGGTTTTATGTCAACTTGACACATTAGAGTCATCAGGGGGGAGGCCTCAATTGAGAAATGCTTCCATGAAGTGGCACTGTGGGGCAAGCCTGTGGGGAATTTTCTTAACTAGTGATTGGTGTGGGAGGGCTGGTGCCACCCCTGGGCAGGGGGTCCTGGGTTCTATAAGGAGGCAGGCTGAGCTAAGCCATGAGGATCCAGTCAGGAAGCAGCTCCCCTCCATGGCCTCTGCATCAGCTCCTGCCTCAGGTTCCTGCTCTGTGTGAGTTCCTGTCCTGACTCCTTCAGTGATGGATCATGGATATGGAAGTGAGTCAGATGAACCCTTTCCTGCCCAGTTAGTTTTGGTCATGGTGTCTCTTCACAGCAATAGGAGGACAGTGACTAAGACAGCAGCAGACAGCCAGAGTGGGAAGCCAGAAGGTCATAACCCTGAAAGTGCAGTGGGACTATAAACTCTTAACGCGCACCCCCACGGACGTGCAGTGGGACTATAAACTCTTAATGCACACCTCCACGGACGAACTTCCTTCAGCAAGGCTGTGCCTCTTAAAGGTTCCCTTACTTCCCCCAAACAGCACCATGATTGGGGATCAAAAATTCAGTGCCCAAACCTACAGGAGACATTTCTCGTTCAAACCATCATACCCTAGCTTGCTGTTGGTGAACCCGAAGGACTATGTCATCATGAAGTTGATCATTTTAATGGATCGTCCCCTTTTTGTAAGCCTCTTGACTTGCCTGAGCCTCAGTTTCCCCTCATGTGGCTCTGTCAACATGGACAGTTGTTCTTTTCTGTTGAGAGCTTGTTCTGGACTGTCCTGGATACAAACTGTTGCCTAAAGAGATGGTGGTCACTTGCATTCAACCGTCATTGAACCCTGGCTGTGTGGCCCCCAACCAGTTCTTAACCCTGAGGGGTCCTGAGGAGCCACTTAAGGCTCTGTTAACATGGGCAGCTATCTCAGACTACAAAGGAGGGGACAGTCCATATCTCCTCTCCTTAAGCCCCTGTTCTTGCCCCACTGAGGCCCAGCTCCTGAGTCCTACCCCTTGTTGTGTTGCAGTGGGAACACCATACTACATGTCACCAGAGAGGATCCACGAGAATGGCTACAACTTCAAGTCAGACATCTGGTCCCTAGGCTGTCTGCTGTATGAGGTGAGTTTCTCGTGTGCAGATTGGTGGCCTGTGGGAACTTCCACAGGGGCATAGGTAAGACAGGCTCACCCCATCCACTTATGGTAGTACCGGGGCTGCACGTACCCACCTGCAGTTTCAGGACCCTTGGGGACCAGCCTTTCACCCTTCAGCAGGCGTGGCCTCCGTAATGTGGTCAAGCCATCCTTGCTGGAAAGGTGGTTGGTAGTAAGCTGTACTGTGGGCTCCAAGAAGGGGATGGGCCAGTGGGACATCTCACTGCTCTTCTCTGGTTTCCTTGGTAACCACATCTGTATTATTCATTGGCATGCAGGTCCTGGGAATGGGTACAGTCATGCCTGGCTCATACCCTGTGTTGCTACGCTAAGGAGCACTCCAGGCCCAACAGTGTGGCTCTTGCTGATCTGGTAGCCAGCCTGGAGCCAGAGTCAGGGCCCCTGAGTCTTGGTATGCTGTGAACAAGCATAAGCCTCACTCATTTAAGATAGCCGCAGTGGGGTCCTGGGTCAGTGAGGAGCACAGGTCGCCCAGAGAGGTGCAGCTTGGGCCATCTGATGTCTCTATGTCAGTGGCTGCACCTCCCGCCAGCCTGCTGGGACCCATTACTGGGCTCCCAAGAATCTCCGCCAAGCCCTGGCTGCCTGATTGGAGCCCTAATAGACAGGTGAGAACTATGGGATTAGGACTGAAACCTCATTTGTCTTTTGCTAGCCTGGAGCTTGTGTGGGGTTGTGAGTCTGGTTTGAACTGGTCACTCTAATGAACCCCATTATTAAACTGATGGCTGGGACTGACTGCAGCAGTGACACTCAGGAAAGTGCCCCAGGATACACCAAAAGAAACTAATGCTTCTGGGGGCTGTGTGGTGACTACCACACCAGTGGTTCATGGGGGCCTTTGGACAGCGGATTGCAGTCTCCTGTCTGGGTCTCTCTCTCTCTCTCTCTCTCTCTCTCTCTCTCTCTCTCTCTCTCTCTCTCTCTCTCTCTCTCTCTCTGTTTTTTTTTCGAAATAGGGTTTCTCTGTGGCTTCGGAGGCTGTCCTGGAACTAGCTCTTGTAGACCAGCTGGTCTTGAACTCACAGAGATCACCTGTCTCTGCCTCCTGAGTGCTGGGATTAAAGGCGTGTGCCACCACGGCGGCTCTCCAATCTCTTTACAAGGCATAGAATTCGGTGTCTTTCTTTCTTCCTTTTTTAAAAAGATTTATTTATTATGTATACAATATTTTGCCTGCATTCATATCTGCATGCCAGAAGAGGGTGCCAGATCTCAGTACAGATGGTTGTGAGCCACCATGTGGTTTCTGGGAATTGAACTCCGCTCCTCTGGAAGAGCAGTCAGTGCTCTTAACCTCTGAGCCATCTCTCCAGCCCAGTCTTTCTTTCTGAGTCAGGTGCTAGAGGCGTGTTAAGGCAGGGAGGCTGGGAGGTGGAGATGTTGCTCCTGAGCCTGCACCTAGCAGAAGGTCGTGCATTTTAAATGCGTGGCTAGAAAAGATGCCCTTGTGGATTGGTTGTGTGGGTTACCTGCTAGGGTGCAGTAGCCCAGTGTCATCAGAAGGCCTGTGGGCAATTCAGGCCAGAACACTCAACAGTGGGGAAAGCCAAGTCTTTTCAAGACTCTGAGGCATCAGTTTCAGGAATAGACCTAATGAGCACCCTAAGGTCTGGGGCCAAAGGGGGATTCAGAGACCCCTGTGAGAGAACATGACCCAGGTGTGTGAGGTGCTGCAGGTATGAGATTCCTATGAGAGAGCATGACCCAGGCGTGTCAAGTGCTGGGGTGAGACTCTTGTGTTGATGGAAGTTTCTGTCCCGCCAGGTTCTGCGGCTGCTAAGTCCCCAATAAGCACACAGAGGCTTATATTAAATATGAACTATTTGGCCTATTGCTCAGGCTTACTACTAACAAACTCTTACAGCTTAAATGAGCCCATAATTCTTATCTATGTTTAGTCACGTGACTGGGTACCTTTTCTCAGTGTGACACTGTCATCTTGCTTCCTTTGCATCTGGCTGGCGACTTGTCAGGTGCCGGGGTGCAACTCCTCTAAGAGAGCATGACCCAGCCATGTCAGGTGCCGGGATGAGGGACAGCTGTTCAGGAACACCCTACTCTTAAACATGTGAGATGAGGAAGAGAGCGATTTTTACTTCGTTTTTGTGAGCATGCCTGTAGAACTCTCAACCATTGGGCCTCCGAGGGGAGACATGTGTGTCCAGCAGGAGCCCAGACTGGGCAAAAGGACCCAAGGTCCAAATCTCAGCAGCAGCACCTGGAAGGGTTGGTCTCAGCTGCCCCATGTGTGGGATAGTCTGCCTTGTGGAGTGAAGTGTGTGAGGCCCTGTGACTGAGGTGCCCAGCTCCGGACACTCAGGCCTCTCTGTGAGCCCACTGACCAGCTGAGCTGAGCACCTGGTGTTTGCTGCCAGTCCTTAGACAGCCAACGGCTTGACACATTTCCCTTTTTGCTTTGGCCAACAGGAGGTCTCGGCATAGTTCAGCTTGGGTCCTCGCGGAGTCCCCTTTGTCGCAATCCAGATGGCTTGTTTTTATTTTTCCTTCCTGTGTTGTGTGTTTTCAGAAGCTGCTTCCTGCCCCCTTAGAGTCGTGAGGGTCTCTAAACGTAAGCACAGCCTGACCGAGAGGTGTGTGCGTGCATCCCTCGGGGCGAGTGGAAGGGTGGGGGATGACATCTGGCTCCCTCTGCTCCTGCCAGCCCTGTCCCCACCCAGGCCTTTGCTACCACTCAGCTCAGCCAGTTGACTTGGTCATTGGTAGTGTGTGGTGCTGCCTGCCTTGTAGCCATGCAAGAGCAAACGGCAGCGGGAGTGCAGGTTAATGGGTCAGTTCCTCTCGGAGTAGGAGGCCATGGTGCTCATGGACTGCCCTCAGTGGTGGTAGCGGACTCTGCTGAAGCCAGCATCCCTCTGGACCCCCACAGCGCATCAGGGAAAGAAGTGTATTGCTTACCCAGGAGACAATGAGGGGCCTCATCTGGGCCAGTGCTGGATAATTGGCAAGAGATGTCCTACAGTCATGGCTGTCACCTCCCAGAGACCACCTGTGGTATTTTCCCAAGGTGTCAGCTTGAAGAGCTGGGACAAATTCCATCTTCCCACTCCCCGCCTAACTTAGACCCTGAGGCGTCTCATGATCCCCATGGAACACATGCTATGTCACCATGACCAGGGACTCCAAGTGTACCAGGCCAGAAACAGTCCCCTAGACATCCTTCGCTGAGCCCCAGCATTGGCTGAGGTCTCGAAACACGTTACCTTTCCTGTGGAGGAAGAGACAGTGAAGCCTGAGGCTCACTTGGTGCTGGCCCCTTGCAGGGGGACCTCAAAGGCCCACCTAGGGCAGAGACCCAGCAAGACTGTGGGCTGGGAAAAGCTGCTTTGGAATTCTGGCTTGACCAGTAGAATGGCCTGGAAAGCCCCTCCCTCAGAGAACCAGGCCTCGTGCCCCTCTAAATCACCCTTCACCCCAGGCTGTGCTTGGGAGACGCTGGGTGACAGACAAGACGGGTGTCTGGGTCCCTAAGTCACGTATCATCTCCTCCTCCCTCCACATCCTAGGTTCTTTCAGATACAGACAACCCTCACCTTCCGGGGTTGTGTGGCTCACACCCAGGGAAGGAAAGTACGGCATGTGGTTCACTATCTTAACCACGACTCTGGTGGTCTAGAAGTAGCCAGTGTCTGGCCTTTGCTCTGACCTCCCAGGGGCTGGCTGGCCACCAGTTTGAGTAGCTCTCACCTTCCTAGGTAATCCTTATAATCCCCATATCACCAGCAAGCCCTCAGGTTACTTCACAGCCTGCCATACGTATCAGGTATGTCAAGGCCAGGGCCAAGGGGCCCTCAGCCAGTGAGCCAGAGCAAAGGCCTTGGCAGCCTGGCTCCTCAGTAGGGAGTCAAACAGGTTGGACCTGGACCAGGTAGGGCATGAAAACCCAATGACCCTTCACTAGCAGGAAGGACTAGGTTCTTTCATCAGGAGGAAACAGGAAGTGAGGGACAGAAAACACTTGAATGCCATCATGGATTATCAGCAGATGTGCATGCCGGGCTACCTCCATGCTCCTGCAGACCCTCCCGAGGCTTTCCCCCAGGTACCTTGAACACAGTGGGGAATGTGGGTACTTCAGGAAGAGGGAGTTCTCTCCCTGGATGAGAACACACTAGGGCCACTGTCCAACTGTCCTGTCACTCCCCAGTGCCCATCAGTCTGCCTCTCTTAAGGTGCCCAGGGTGGTGTCTGAACCTTGCCACACCCTGTAGGCTGGAGCTTCCAACTTAACAGCCACCAACTGCAGAGCCCAGCTTCTCTCCACCCTGGAACTCCCTGAGAGAGGGCACCAGCCTGCAGACAGCTTCGCTACATCTGTCCAAACCTTCCAGTGAAGTCAGCTTTCAGGTAGACATGTTCCCAAGAACAGTGTTGCCACCACTCTTTAGTCAGAGCCAAGTATGGTATCACTTCCCTGTAACCCAAGCACCCAGGAATGTAAGGCAGGGTTACCACAAGTGAAGCCAGCCTGGATGACACAATGAGTCCCAGGACACCCTGGGGATTCTAAGTGAGACCTTCAAACAGAGATGGGCAGAGGAAGGAGCTCAGTTGGAAAGTGCTTGCCTTGCATGCAGGACTTGAATTAGAACCCCTGGCATGCTGGAAAAGCTGTGTGCTGTGATGTACACTGGGTAAGTGGAGACAGGCTGATCTCTGAGGCTCACTGGCTAGCCAGCCTAGCCTACCACTCGTGACAAGTGCCATGCCAGGCCCTGTCTTCAGGAAATGGTGGATAGTGCCCCTGAGGACTAACACTAGAGGCTGACTGTCCCCTTACACTACACACACACACACACACACAGAGAGAGAGAGAGAGAGAGAGAGAGAGAGAGAGAGAGAGAGAGAGAGAGAGAGAGAGAGAGAGAGAGAGAGAGAGAGAGAGAGAGAGCACCCATTGAAAATCTGATGGGCAGTGGTGGCATACGCCTTTAACCCCAGCACTTGGGAGTTAGTTTGAGGCCAGCCTGGTCTACAGAGCAAGTTCCGGGAGAGCCAGAGCTGTTTACACAGAGAAACCCTGGCTCAGAAAACAAAACAAAACAAAATAATAATAATAATAAAGTAAGAAAACCTGTCAGGCCTAGGAAGAGCCTAAGGAGCAGAGTCTCTTTCTTATTGCAATCCCAACCTCCTTGGGCTCCAGAGAGGGAGAAGCCCACAGGACACTCAGCTGCAATGGAGACCAACCAGTGGTCCCTCTGGCTTCTGAAATCCTTTAGATGTTGATTGAGGCTGATGGCTGGTCCCGTGTCCCTTCCCTTGCAGATGGCAGCTCTCCAGAGCCCCTTCTATGGAGACAAGATGAATCTCTTGTCCCTCTGCCAGAAGATAGAGCAGTGTGACTACCCACCTCTCCCAGGGGAGCACTACTCTGAGAAGGTGAGCAAGCTGGGGGCCAGTCCTGGTGGACTTCCAGGAGGGGTGGTGCTCAAGTGCCTGAGGCTTGTAGGATGCAGCAGCGCACAGCTGCAGTAGACCTAAAGCAGCCTAGGGGCACCGAGGAGCAGGGGGTGAGAGGGGGCACCTCGGGCGAGCTGGTTGGTCTCCTGCTGTGTAACAGGCCTGTAACCCTGGAGTTTAGACTTCCACATTTTATGCTGGGTGCAGGCGCTCTGGACAGTTACTGGCTGTGTGAAGGTCATCTTCAGATGGGTTAAATTGTATCTCCCTCATGAATAGAGAGAACTGACAGGCCTCCTGGCACATTCCTGGTTCAGTCAAAACAGGTCTATATACTTCCTTAAAGTCTTGTTTTCCTCATCTGTAGCATGGGGACAAAACTAGACTCTCCAGTCCAGGTTCATAAGGATTAATACAGGTATCTTGCTTAGCAGAGCCAAGCCAGCATCCATCATCATCAAAAGTATGTATTGGAAGTAACACAGCTCTATGTAAATATTGCTAAACATCACCTGTCATGTGTGTTGAGTCTAAGGGCTCTCACTCTACAGAACCCAAGGCCACTCCCATGATAAGGGCTCATATGTATAGAACCTCTCCCTCGTTATGTTTCCACTAAGGCAGCATTCTCAATCTTTGGGTTGCAACCTCTTTGGGAGTCAAAAGGCATTTCACAGGGGTCTCCTAAGACTATTGGAAAACAGAAATATTTATAGTTCCTAACAGTGAAATAGCAACAAAAGTAATTTTGTGGTCGGGACTCACCATAACGTGAGGAACTGTATTAAAAGGCTGCAGCATTATTAGACGGAGAACCATTCCACTGAGGAAAAGCCCATCATCCAGATGAGACCTTGTGGATGCGGGCAAAGCCTAGGAGGCTCCCAGCCAGCCTCCAGTCCACTGGTCCTCGCCTGTGCAGAGCACCACCCCTGGGGTGGGGAGGTCAGGAGTCTGCTCCAGTGGCATGAGTTCTCGCTAGCCCCTCCGCTGAAAAGATCAGTGTTCTGGAGAGCAGGCTGGAGCAGAGGGAGAACGGATTACGTCCTTCACAAAATCCGTTATTCACTGCTTGTTCCTTTATTTAAACTAACTTCCACACTACAAAAAGACATGCAACTTGGTTCTAATCATTTGTGCTCCTGTGCCAGTCTGCCAATGGATCCACCCATTCCACTTCAGTTGCATGGCAGAAATAAAGCCTCCAGAGCCCTTAGCTTTATCTCCTAGGGCAGACTTTGTCTCTCTAGTGCACGCCCCTGGCAGGTAGCAGCTCCAGACCCTCCTCCTCAGCACAGGGTGTGTCCCTAAATACACTCCACTTTTAAAGCTCTACTGTGTTTTAAGGGGTCTTGTCTTTGTTGCTGTTTCTCCCTATGACTGGTAACTATGTACTCTGCTTCTGAGTAGTTGCAGGGCAGATTTCACCTTGATGTGTTTTTCACCTGATGGTCAGCCATGGTTCCCTTGCAGAGCAGCTTCAGAAGTCACTGTAGTCTTGGACTCCAGATGTGCTACAAACACCACTTTCATCTGCTCATGGGTTTCGGTGTTTATAGAGCAGTGGGACCCCAAAAAACCAGGCAAAGGAAGGAGGCACACCCTCAGTGAGGCAGGGGGTCCAGGACTGGCCCCTAGCTGGAGGTGTATGCTGTGGGCCCAGGGCCTCTGGAACACCCCAGACTCTGCCTCCTCAGACCCTAGAGCTCTCTGGTCCATGACCTCCCCTCTCTACTTTTGCTGAGACCACCAGCACCCCCAGCAGCAGGCACTGAGAAGCAAGCAGCCTGCCCAGTGTTGCACGTTTAAGACTCAGGCTTTTTAAGGTCATTATTTTAATTACCATTAAAATAACTAGCACTCTGGCTATCAGAACGAGAGGGATCAGAGGCTTAAGGTGCCCCTCCTCCACCCTGGCGGGTGAAGCCTCAGTGTCTGGATAATTAAAAGCATGTCTTTCATGAGCACAATAAGAGGCCAGGGGGTATTCAGACTGCAGCCTTGCTGCATGTTAATGCATTTATTATGATCAATAAGCTCTTTCCTGGAGTTTTCTCTGGTTTGGGCTTTGTGTGACTGGCAGCAGACACACATGTGTACAGGGTACTCACACTCACAAATCTGCAAAGGTGTGCACAGGTCAAAACTGAAGGTTATCTGAGGGTCTCCAAGCATTGCCTTTGGAACTAGACAGGCCTAGGCATGCATGTACCCGGTCACCCCAAGAGCTGTGTGACCGTATATCTTACCCTTCAAAGCACTCTTCACTTGAAAGGGGACAACTCTACCATCATAGGTGCCGTGTGGCAGACTGTGTGGATGTGGGTAAAGTGCCTGAGTACGTTAAGACTGACAGAACTGCTCTTTCCTTGCAGCTTCGGGAACTGGTCAGTATGTGTATCTACCCTGACCCCAACCACCGACCTGACATCGTGTATGTGCATCAGGTGGCCAGGCAGATGCATGTCTGGGCGTCCAGCACCTGAATGCAGCGTGCCTCATCAAGGCCAAACACCACTTGTCTTACTTGAGTCCTCTCCCCAAGTGGCACCAGGAAACCCCCACAGCCAAGACCAGAGGGCTCAGCAGGCTAACAAAGGCAGCTGCCTCTGCCACTAAAAGCTGAAAGCAGCTGGGTTATGGTCAATCTCCAAAGTCCTTTCTTTGAACTGTTGCAGACAATCTGAGCTGGGCTATTAGTAGGGGAAGGAACTTAGCAGTCCCTGAAGCCCCCTGTACCAAGTGAAATGTGAATGTCGACCTGGTTTCTTCCGACCTGTCCAGGCCACACTGTCAGACTTACAGCGAACAGGGTGACTGGTGTGTGTCAGCCTTTGCAAATGATCAACACCGGTTGATTTAGTTCTTGGTACCTTTCCATACAACAGGCTGTGTGCTTCATTTACTCTCTTGTAAGGGGACACAATAGAAATAATGGTTTAGAGTAGAGATTTCGCTAATACTTTCTCTGCATTTTGTAACTTGATGAGTGACAGTGAGAAGCACCCAGCACTGGCGTTGAGATGCATAGTGTCTGGGAGACAGGGTGGTCCTCCTCTCCTGCCCTGCCGTGTACCATAGCCTCCTGAAATGCTGTGGCTCACTGTAGGAGAAGTATGAAACACTTTCATCCATGGGAAGATAGCAAGAAAAATCCAAGAGCTTTGCCTCCACACTGGTCTCTACAATTTTGATTCTCTGTCTTCCTAGTATGACCTGGGTAAGTTTGTTGGCTTTTCTGACAGGATCTCAGACAAAAGACATGGCAGCCTAAGTTTGTTATCTTAGCACTTAGGAGGTAGAGGCAGGGGGATCAAGAATCCAGGCTCACCCTAGGCAATATGGGAAGTTTAAGACTGGATATAAGATCCTAACTCAAAAAGAAAAACAAAACAAACACACACGAGATACAAATCAGCCAGCAGTGGCAGGTGATCAAAAATGCAACCTGTCACTCTTTCAGAAAACTCAAGTCCATGGACCACGAGAGTCAAGAATTAAAATACAACTGTATTATGTGCAGGAAAAGCAGGAATATGTTCATTTACTTTTTGTTCTCAATAGGATTAACTGTGAAGACTAATTTATAAATGTGAATTTAAGCAAACTTAAGTGCCGGAGGAAACAGTCTGAATTATTTTGTTCTACTATGACAGTGGTCTCAATCTGGGTCAGAATCCCTTTTGCAAACCGCTACCTCCAAAAAATATTTACATTATGGTTCATAAAAGCAGCAAAATTAGTTATGAAGTAGCAACAAAAATAACTTTATAACACGAACTGTATTAGAGGGTGACAGCTTTAGGAAGGCTGAAAGCACCTGGCCTATGCAATAATCAAACACTGATGACAGGCCAGTGCTGCTGTGTCTGGTCAGATGTTTAACTCGATGCTGGATGAACTTACTACCCAGAGCTCCCCAAAATAGGGTCCCTGGTTGGCCACCACCTTCTGAGCAGAGTCTACACTCCAGGTATGGCCTCTGCCTAGAGCAAGCTCTCCGTGTTTAGACAGAATGGGAAGAGGAGTGACCGCTGAGCAGCTTGGGGATGGCTCTAACAGCAAGTCAGTATCGTCTTGAACTGCAGACCAAACCCAGGACACAACAGCAGCACAACTTCCTGAGGCACCTTTAGAAACAACTTGCCAGGCCCCAAACAGTCCAAGGAATACCAGAGTATTCTTAAGTTCCCCCAAGTAATTCTGAGACTCTGCCGAGCTGCCACCCTCAATAAATGCACTGTACTCTCTCAAGCTGGCTCTGGCAGTTTCCACCTGGGAAGTGGGCCTCCAGTGGCCCGCCCATAACCCTCACTCGTGGGGTGGGGTGGGGTGGGGTGGGAGCCTCTGTCCCCTGCCCAGCACTAACCCTGAAAGTTTCCCTTACTCTTGGTTAGCACTGTGTCTGTTCCGCGGCTCTGTTGGCCTCTGTAGAATAAAGAAATTAATTGCAGCACTCCAACCACTGTCCACACCAAGAGGACCATCTGCCCAATAAAATGACCCCTGGGATGTCCAGTCTCCACCAATCATCATCCAGAGAGGCAGTACAATGCTATGTCCTAATTACTACAAAACAGCAAACCCAAGCACTCCTTCGATTGTCATAAAAATGGCCAGAGTGCAGCCCACCAGTTTCACAAAGCCATGGGAAAGCCAAGTTTCCATTTGCCTTTTCCTCGACCTGAGCATGTATACAGCCCGAGAACTCAAACTGAAGGTGCCTGTCTCCAGTGCATGTAGGGAAGAGTAGGGGTAAACTCGGGGCCTTGTGCACTGGGCCATGCCACAGGCAGAGACTCAATCGCTACTTTCCACTTGACAGACGCCTGGGGCCACCGCCAGTGAAGATGGAGTAAGCAGGCACAGGCCCGGGTCACACATGTTCACTCAGAGAGCAAAGGAGCCAAATCTGGATTTGGGCCACACCACTGATACCAGAACCCAAAACACAGAAGAAGAATCAGGTCACAAGGAGCCCAGACCCACAGTCCCCACATTACAGCCACTCACTGGGTTTTATCTTTTTTTAATTGAGCCTCACTCAGCAAGCAGTAGCTGAATGTGTGTTCTTGGGGGAGTGGGGGGGGGGGTGTGCCCCAGACACCCAGAGAGATAACCAACTACCCCAGCACCATTCACGAAGTGTCCATGGTCTGGACAGTCTCTTCTAGCACCTCAATCTCCAGAGTGGTGACTTTCTCAGTGAGGACCGCTGTAGTGCCTTTCTCACACCTGTACCGGCCAAACCTAACGAGAAAAACAAAAGCAGTTAGGCCAGGACAGAGACACTGTGCCCACACAGCAACAGACTTCATTGGAGCCCTGGCTCCGAGAACTCCACCTCTGTGGCTTCAGGGAGTCAATTGCCCTTCACTTCCAAATACTACAATACAAGATGGGGACACCTGAGGGGTGTGTGTGTCAGACAACACTTAAGAGAAATGGTTTTCCATTTCCCTGCCACGCTCCACCATCCTCCGTACCAGATAGAAACTACCTGGTCATTGGACTTAAGGCTGCCACTTCCTTAAAACTCACATCCTTCTGTGCAGCAATGTGAGTGACACAATATGGCTTTCTGCCCCACACTCTAGGAGCACCAGCAATACAACTAACACAGTCCACAGCCAAGCTCCAGACTCACCACTTCAGAACATACAAGGCTGTGTCCCTGCAGGGGCATGGTGGATCGCCACCAGACACACCCACCTGGCCTGCCATGATCATGTGCTCCTAGGAAATTTGTCCATTCAACAGGCACTCGGGCTCCAACAGGGAGCAGAGGAAAGGGTACCTGATGCTCAGGTGGACTCTAGGAGGAGGTACACTTTTTCAAAAACACATCTGTCCTTGTTCCCTTAAAGTTTAAAGATGGCTCTTGGTATGAACCAGGCTGGGCTACTGGCAGCTAAGTGCTGCCTTGAGACCAAAGTCCCAGTGGCCCAAGAAGTTGACTCTTCAGACTTCTACTCTGTCTTTAGGGGGAGTGGAAACAAGAGCCCCTGTACCTTTAGGGTAAGGCTGTTGGCCTTTGCAACACACAGCCAGGTCCACAGTGGTGATGGCCCTCACCTGCTGTCCACTCTGGGGAGGGTTCCCTTATCTAGGCAGCACTCTCACAGCCATTAGTCCAAAGGACGGTGGGATTCTAGAGTGTAGATAATTGGTGCTGTCCCAAGGCAGATTAATGCACACCTCTCTTCGCTTAGCCCCTTACCAGCTACCCCCCTTGTCACCTTGTTGGGTCCATACCCACCCCAAAGGCTAGGATGGAACCTGGAGCCTCACACATTCTAGGCAAGTGCTCTGCCACAAAACCACATCTCTGGCTCCACAGTGCTGCCTAACTTTTGTAACCACACCCAGTTTTCAAAGGTGGCTTTTAGAATTCTCCACCTGGAGACTGACTATTCAGTCCACACGGAGCAGAACTACTCCCCAGTTCTCTGCTCAAAGGATCAGCATCCTTCAGTGGGAGCCGTTCTCCCAAACCAGCCTGTATATTAAAGGGGGCTTCCCATTTCACTCAAGGCCTGGGGAACTCGGATCACACTAGCCCAGCTCTATCATTTCAAATACAGGACTGATACCCAGAGCCACCATGCCAACCTGTGGCCCCACCTTAACCCACCCCAGAACTGCCGACAGCAAACTTCCACAATGCTGAAAGAAGCCCACCACAAAGAGCTGCTGGCATTGAAGGCCATCCTTTCCTTGTGAGTCTACAGCTAGGGCTCCTCAGTGCAGTAGAAGCAAGCCTTCCAGAGGTCCTGGACTACTAACCAGTGCCCAGGCCCAGTTACTACTGACTCACTCAGGTGATTGTACCTAAAAGCAGAACTCAGGGCCCAGAGTACTAAAGCAGTTGAACACCCATAAGCGCTTTCTTTCCATCAGTACAGGTAAAGGCAGACACCAGGTCCTAAGCGTAGGCCCAGAACATCACCTCAAAGTTCAGATCCTGGCTTGCACCACTGAGGTGAAGCATCCACAGAGCACAGGCCACAGGTCCAGCAGCACAACTCCCTTTAGCATGAACAACACTGGTAGCCACCATGGCCACAATTCAAAGGCTCCTAGCCACCGGTTTAGAACCTTTAGGATGTCTTGGGCCAGCCTGAACAAAACTTGTGGGCTGGCTACCACAAAACCCAAATGCCTCATAAAATTCCATTCAGGAGTTAAGATGCTCAAGAAAACATGAGTGGTGGCAGGGAGGGAGGGAGAAGAAACCTCAATGTCTCAGCTCTCAGCCTGACGCTCTCTCCTGCTAACATGATAGACAGGACACTTCTCTGTCTGACCATAGCCTGTGATCATAAAGTAGCCTTGACACAAGACCTGTTGAATAAGCCTGCTTTAGAACACAGGCTCTTCTAGATGTGGGAAAGAATGCAGAAAGCCCAATCCAGATGGCATGGAGATTCCAAAGGTGACAGGACACAGGAAAAGTGCCATCACCTTCACTTACCTGGTTCCCTTCTTGTTGGGTACTGAGTATGGACGAAGAAAGTCCAGCTTGCTCTTGCTAATGACACACAGATCGATGTTGCTTCCAGACCCCAAGTCATTAAAGATGCCAGCTGCGATAGCCTCACTCACCAGCTTCTTGGCTTCTTCCTCCTGAGAAAGCAAAAGACAGCCATGGTGAGTTGTGTCCATGGAGAATGGTGGGCGCTGTGCTCAGAAACACACGGGATGCTCCACAGATGCATTCAAGAGAGGCGATTAAACTTCCCTGCAACTATGAGGCTCTCAACACTCATTTTTCAAAGGAAGAAAAGACAGCAAACAACTCCATTTGGTCGGCCTAGAGCTCTTCAGGTGGTAAGTGGAGGCCTGGGACTTTTAAGCCTTTCATGCCTACGCCCCTTCTTCACCAAAATGTCTTCCATCATATGCTGTCAGCACTCATCATTTGAAGCAAGACTCACTAAGTTCTCCTGTGAACTGAAAGAAAACGGCCCCCAAAAAGAATGGTACTATTAGGAGGTGTGGCTTTGATGGAGGAAGTGTGTCACTGTGAGGGTGGGAATGGCAGACACGCCACATGGGGACATTCTATGTCAGTCAAGTGAGACATTAGGGCCACAGACAGAGGTCCCAGAACCTCACCCTCTTGGGATGTGACTGTTCCAGGGCATGACAAGGGTCAACAGTGACAATAATGACTGCCTTGGTGAAGCTCACAGTCAGTGAAGCTTAAAGCGGAATTCAAGGCAAGATGAAACAAAGGCATCCAGGAAAGTGGTGCATTGCAGGCAGCAAGACAGAGCATGGGCCCATGAGGCTGAAATCCTTTATGCAACAAGGACAGAAAGGAGTCAGCCTTTTCTCTGTGCTTCATCTGCTTCCCAAGGCACAAAGGTACAAATACATGAGCCCAACAAAATGCACACATCTCAGTAACACCCCCCAACTCCAACCCCCAATGAACCAAATGCCCCAAATCTGGCCTAAGAACCTTGATGGACAAATTCAAGGCTTCAAGTTGTGAGAACTCTGAGCCAGGCTGGAATCTAGTGACGGGAGTGCCCTCTACAGACCCAGAGGAGGAAAGGCACAGCTCTGAAAGCAGCAGCTGGGCACCTTTGTAAGGGCCATAAAGCAAGTTATTCTTATGTGCATGTACTGTATGAATTCACCCCAGAGGACCAGCTAATCAGGAACTCTGTTGTGGAAATTCATTCTGCCAATAGCTTTGGGGTACCGGCCTTAAGGCGTGGCTTCTTGTCTGAGGATGTGATCTCTTATAAAGGAGATAGAAGTTGCACTCTCTTGGGTCGTGAAGCTGTATGTGGCCGGTCCATAGCTCCCTTGGTCCCAGCTCTGTAAGTCTGTTTTCCCTCAGCATGTTTTAATAGATTGATACATACGCACACACGCACGCACACAGAGCTCTCAATGGCTCTCAAATCAACTCTCCCCTTGGATTCTCAATAGTCCCACAAAAGCCTTACCAGAAACAAGGAAAGGTGGCATAGCAGATGGTAGTGAACTGCAAAGCCCAACCACCCGCTTAACAATGCAACCTCACTGCAACTGACTTCTTGTACTAACCAACCTTAGCTGTGCGTGTGCACGCACACTGGGAGTGCCCTGCTTGCTCCCTTCTCCCCCTACTCTCTTCTCCACTTAACCACTGCCTCGCTTTGTCTGTTCTCATCTCTGTTGCTGGTACTCTGAGCAAGGCACTTGGGACAGGGAGGAAAAGAAACAAACAACAACCAAAGCCCAATGGGCAGCACTTG